AAAAATAAAAAATCTCAATTTACACCCTTAAAGATAGAAATTTGTATCAATGTGTACCCCCAAAGATAAAAAATCTTAATTTACACCCCCAAAGATAGAAATTTGTATCAATATACATCTAAAACTAAATTAATAAATTATATCTAGATCCCCTCATACTTATCACTTAATCATTTGAACTCCTTCACGTTTAGAATATTACTCTCACATCTTATGACCTTTGTGCACGTGTAACACGTAACTTTTTTCTATTGATGTATGTTAATATAACCATTAAAAAATATAATTTTATTCTAATAAAAAAGTATAATTTCATATTCCCTTTATTTTGTGGGTCCGATATACTTTAAAGTTCAAAATCAAGCTTACTATTTGAATATCTAATAGAACATAGATATTTATGTAGTATTTAAAGTTCAAAATTAAGCTTACTATTTGAATGTCTAATAGAACATAGATATTTATGTAGTATTTTTTATATCCAATGCAATATATCACTCAATGTGCAACCCTTTATTCTATTAGATATTCAAATGGTAAGCTTGATTTTGAATTTTAGAGTATATTGAACCCATAAAATAAAAGGTAATATGAAATTATAATTTTTTATTAGGATAAAATCATATTTTTTAACAGTTATATTAGCATAAATTGAGATTTTTGATCTTTGAAAGTATAAATTGAGATTTAAATAATCTTTTAGGGTGTAATTTATAATTAACCAAAAAAAAAAATCCTACATAATTATTTCTCAATCGTGCTTAACAATTTTCCCACCGCCTTGCAAAATTTCTCTTAAAACTCCCTCTGCTGTCCTCTCTCTCTCTCTACGGAACCTGAGGCTGAGACATCATCACAGAGAGCATTTCCTTTCTCTGTGTGTGTGGAAAACACGCACAGATGCCAATAGAAATGCCCAAGGGGCTACCCTTCTCAGTGGATACGTGGACACCGTCTTCAAAGAAAAAGAGATACCATTTTCTAACGCATGCCCACAAAGACCATTGCCAAGGATTATACAAACACTTTTCATATCCAATTTACTCTACCCATCTCACAAAATCCCTTGTGCTTCAATATTTTCCCCAGGTCATCTATCAATTTACCTTTTTATCTTTTCCGGTTTGATTGTTTGATTTTTAATTTTTTTACTGATGATTTTTGGGTTGTTTTTGCAGCTTGATGATTCATTGTTTGTGGTTATTGAGGTTGGACAATTGGTGGTTATCAATGACTTGGATGGGGCATTCACCGTGACCGCATTTGACGCGAATCACTGCCCTGGTATTTGGCTATTATTCGATAATTTGGTTATATTTTAGCTGTCTTTTGATAATTCATTCTAACTTTTGGATTAGATTTTCGTGCTGATTGATTTTTTATTAGTTTTCTTATATGGGATTTGAATTTTGATCTTATATTGTTATTGGACCTTGTTATGCGAATTAGTGCGGACAATGATATCTAAATTAATTTAACTTCTCCATTTTCATTGCCAAAAGCCAGAGAATTTTGATTATCAGTCTGTCGCTAATAAATTGCTCAGTTATGTTGATGGCCAATCATTTGATGACTAGGAGTTGATCAAATTTATGTCGTGGTTCAATCCTGAGTGTCAACTAAGCTTGAATTGTCTGTGTTACCTTCTGACCCTTCAATAAACTTACTAGATGCTTCATTGTACGCAGGTAATCATTAAGGCATAAGTGCTCTTTCTTAAAGTTTTCATTATTCTCCTTCCATCAGGTTGTGAATGAAGTCACCATTTGTCTTGTTATTTGTTGGTTGGGACATCGATACCCAGTGGCATCCAATGCACTGGGCAATAAAACTTCTCTCTGGGCTCTATGACTTTGATTTGACACAAATGTTTGAACAAATACATCACACTCGCATGCACACACAGACCAATGAATATTGTATCTTGGTCACAGCACAGTTAGTGGGTCGTCATCTCGATTGAAGCTCTGTACTTTCAGAAGAACTCTCCTGTTTATCTTTTAGAATGCTTATAATTATGGAAAAGGAAGTTTCAAATGTGAAAATAGTAGAACTATACGAGGTTCTAATAAATCCATTAAGGATATATGCACATTAACATGTATTTTGATTGTTTCTTTGATTTACTCATTGATTACTTGTGTATTGAATTCGTGCTTACGAAATTAGAATGAGATTTTTTGTTCGTTCTACGATGATAGAAGATATTGGAACATTGAGTTTTCTACCCAGTGGAGAGTTTTTCTTGGAGTTTGACTGCGTTTAATTGATACGTGAACCCCAATCTAAGAAGCACGGATATGGATGCGATACGCCATAGACACGCCGAAGTAACATGGACACGCAAACATGACATTTTTCAATAAAGTAGGACACTGACACATAGGGGACACTCAACAAATAATTGTGTTTTATACATTGAATTATATAATCTATCACCACATATTGTACAATTATAGGATAATGCAATATAAGAAAATTATATCCTAAGTGCTTGCATCTTCTCAAGTCCATTTCTTTGATAGAACTTTGAGATATTTAAGTCTTACAATTAGTTTTAAGTAAATTTTAACATGATTCAGCTAAATCATTATATAATCTTTCATGGGAAAGATATACAGTTGTCAAAGTTTAGAAGTTTGTTGATTATATGTTGAGACAAGTTTATTTTTTAGTCATAGACCCGACCCAAAGAATTTGTCCGACACTAAGGAGTGTCGGATACGTGTCTGAAATTAAGATTCTATCTTGTAATAATGGACAAGGTTAAAAGTATATCTGACACATATTCGAGAGTATTCGAGAAGCATCGGGCATGTCAAACACGGAGACTAGTGTCCATGCTTGTTAGACCCCAATTACCAATATTTTGGGGTTCAAGAAATACCAATTAAGTTAACAACTCAATGGTTACTTAGATCTTGGTATATTTAATTTGTTTTTTTTTTTTGTTCATTTTTTCGTGATTTTGATTGTTGGGTGCCTTGATATCAAATATAATAAATCAGTGGCGTTTGTAGTTTAGAAGATAAAACTTCAAAGATTGTAATAGTGCCGAAATTCTATTTTATCATTTTCATTCAATAACATATCCATCATACTTTTAAAATACAGCCGTTAACGATTGTTACATAACGTGGACGACGGTCTCTAATAACGTTACTTCCCGATTTAACGGAAAGAAATTATTTCACACATGTAATGGCTGGTACGACATCGTAATGGGATGTAATGGGCGTTACGGTGGTGTTACTACCCATTACACTGCTGTAATAACCTATATTTACCCTGCACTGTTCGTCCATGGCGTCGAATATCGCCGAAAGAGATGATTGGCGCACAAGAAATACGAAGATATCAATAACGTGGTTGGCAGGCTATTGAGAATGATGAAAATCAAGTGCAGCTTGTTCTTCTACAATATAGAGAATGAGTGGTGGTTGATGCATTATCAACAATTTGGGTGAATGACTTTCCGGAATAATTGGGGTGAATTAATAAATAACAATTATCTTATTCTTTTATCATGTGAAGGAGTGGATCTGACCAGAGTTAAAGTTTATTGTAACGGCAGTGGGGCTCCTTTTTCGCACAAGTTTAGGCACGATTAATTTTTGTTGGCAATTGCAAAGCAATTTCATCCTTATAATCTAAAGGTTGATATTGCGACACATGATTACCTAATTCAAATGCAATTTTCAAATGAACGGCAGGATCTCAAAGGCTCAACCAAACATATTGCTTAAATTAATTTTCCTCCATTTTCCATTTAATTGGATTAATTAACTGACTTAGCAAGACAAAATCATGCATATAATAAAAAATTTATTATAAATTACAACACAATTGCGTTCATTTCAATTTGGACCTAAAACATGCAAATATTTAATTTTTGTCAATAGTCCTGAATGTAATAAAAAAATTCTTGCCTTTGGTTTTTATTACGTAACACCTGGTGACACCCCATGTCCATTACACCATTACCAATACTATTACTACACCCGTTTTCGTTATTCGGAACCATGATATCCATTTACCTAGCAAGAGGAAAAAATTACATATTACATCGGATTGCATTTTCCTGAACACCCATCACTTTCAAAGACTCCGTTTGAATGCATTTTATTCCGTAGCTGTCTGTGTCTTGTTTATTCAATCATATTATGTGCTTTGATAAGGTGGGGTTGGTTACAAAATGCATCTTAATTCACTTCTCACTTGTCTTTTTTGTGATCTGATTCTGACTATTTCAAAAGAAGTACATTCAATTACATTGCATTGGGTTCCTTAATGGAAAATCCTATGTGGCTCTATTGTGTGAATGGAATTATACTTAATGAAAAGAAATATATGCTATTAGAACTCACCTGTGGATCTGTTCCTTTAATTTTCTTTAATTTTTTGTGCTTTTCTTGTCAAAAGTATGATGATAGTGCCTATTTGTCCTGTTTTAGATTTAGATCTTCAGCCTAACTATATCTCTCTGTTTATTTTCTTTTCTTTTTTGCTATATTTTTTTTTTTTTTTTATGTTTTATTTTTGGCTGTCCTGATTGGGCTGTCTCTCTTTTTATATATCCAGTCTGAAATGATATTAGCAGAACATTATTGACAGATGATCCCTTGTATGGCATCCTATATATAAACTTCAGGAGCAGTAATGTTTTTATTTGAAGGCAATTTTGGTAACATCCTGCACACCGGAGATTGCAGACTCACCCCTGAGTGTTTGCAAAGCTTACCAGTGAATTATTTAGGCAAGAAAGCGAAAAAACCAAGGTGCCAACTTGATTATGTTTTCTTAGACTGCACATTTGGGAAGTTCTCTTTCGAAATGCCCAACAAGAAGTCTGCAATTCGACAGGTACGTAGCCTCGACCAGCTTGTGTATTTCATCTAATCTGTTCATATATGATGCGGTATCATTTTGTAGAAATACAATTCAGCTGGTACACCTTTTTCCTTTTTGTTTGTGTCATTGATTTTGGTACAACAAATATGTTATACATTCAACTTTTGGTTTGTCGGTGTGGGCCATAGGGTTGGGTTCCTGTGTGTGTGTGTGTGTGAGAGAGAGAGAGAGGGAGAGAGAGTGCTTCCATATGTGTGTGGCTGGTTATAGTAGTCATACACGGAATCAGATCATTTTGGCTGGCTAAACATGGAAGGGATTAGGGTAGGTCACTTCTTGTTGAATATGTTATAATGGAAGTACGCTTATCTGGATTGTCAGACAAACAACTGGACTTGAGTCGTAGAATTTATGGTTTTATATAAGCTTCCCCAATATATGAAGGAAGGCTGTTTCAGTGTTCTGTTTGTTATATAATTGTTCTGGGCATCAGGCGTCCACTGTGTTTAAGAAGAAAAATGAATGATATCAGATATTACAACCTTGTAGTTCCCAAAATTCCAATAAACATTTTATGTTTGCATTGAATATAGAAAGGGGATTGCATATTCTATGGTGAATGTTAAGATTTTTGTTGTTCTAAATATATTTGTTGCAGGAATTATGTACTTTAGGTCATGTTCTTACTTTAGAATCATTATATCACCGTTTGCTCAAACATTATAAGAGTTTCTCGAGTGGCCGAATTCTGTCTCTTATAGATTATTGTACTTATGTAGCTTTTCTGTGCAGTACTCCTGCCTCTCACTTCCACTTATATATTAGTATATTACTGAGTTTATGTGAATTGTATTGTTTAGTACATTGTATCTCTAGCCAGCAAATGTTGACTACACTTGTCCGTCTGATTTGCTCCAGCTTGGATTATAATGCTATCGGATAACAAAACATATGCAGAATAATGCGTTTGCTTTTAGTTGATATATAAATTACATTATTAGGGTTAGAAATATGTAGGGAAAAAGAGAAGAAGGAAAAGAGAAAGAGAGGTTGTAAAGAATAATCAGTCTTGTGTTAGGGCTGCTGTGTTGCTCTACACCCTTGTATTTATAACTAAGTAATGTTTATGATAATTACAATATTACCCTACACTGCCTAACTTAGGACTTAATGTAGAAAATAAGGAAATAGGAATTCTAACATTCCTCCTCAAGCTAGAGAATAAAGATAAAAAATGCTCAGCTTAGAATATAAATCACTGAAGGCAGTCCGAGCCAATGGCTCGGTAAGAATGTCATCCAACTGATCACCAGATTTAACATATGGAGTGATGATCGCCTTTCGCATCAGTAGATCTCGAATGAAATGACAATCCACTTCAATGTGTTTGGTATGCTCATGAAACACCGGATTACTTGCAATGAAAATTTTTACTTAGTTGTCACAATACATCTTCATAGGGGACGATACATCAAATCCTATATCAAGAAGTAATAAACGAACCCACAACATCTTACATGCAGTGTGAGCCATAGCACGATATTCAGCCTCAATATTAGAAGGGGCAATCACATTCTGTTTCTTACTGCGTCAGGTAATAAGATTTTCCCTCCAACAAACGTACAATAACTAGACGTATATTGTCTATCACTATGATTACTGGCCCAATCAGCATCAGAAAAATCAACCGCTGTTATGGATGATGATGGGCGATACAACAATCCCTTCCTTAGAGCTCTTTTCAGGTATTGGAGGATACGACACACGACCTTCCCAATAAGGCTTACGAGAATCATGCATATACTGACTAATTACACCAACATAGGTGATATCACGACAGGTAACTGTGAGATAAATTAGTTTGCCAACCAGCCTCTATAGCGTCCTATATCATCAAACATCTCACCACTCTTTGGATCTAACTTATTTGTAGTATCAATAGGCGTATCAATCGAACACACACAGAGTGCCAGTTTCAAAAAGTAAGTCCATTACATACTTTTGTTGGTATCAAAGTTTTTAAAATCGGGATCCTACCTTAGATCGATGGGAGTTGTTGTAGGATCAGGATCAGATCAAGAATCGTAAAATCCTACTTATTAAAGAAAATATAACTAAAAATACAGTCAACAACAAAGATTTCAATGAACTAAACCTTGTCTCTGTACTTAATGTAAATATATGTTGATACACATATATATAATATGCGTACCACAAGATCTAATTTAAATAAAATTGAGAATGTAGCTCAAAAGGTAGACCTTTCACATTAATATTATAACATTCAAGTTATAAAGCAGATAGGAGCCAAATTCAATAGGGTTGTAATAGTAAAATTCAAAAAGTATAATTTAAGGCTGTAACTGGTAAACATTAAGGAGAAAAAATAGAGAGAGCACATTCTGCTTCAAAATGAGTAAAAAAAAAAATAGCATGTGTGGTTGTGCAAGAGTAGGATCGTGGGATCAAGATCCTACGATTTTGAAGGATTCGAATGTGACGCCCCAAAATCCGGGGGTCCGTTGATCATGTGACACCCCAAAATTCGGGGGTCCGTTGATTACCCATCCACTCTCGGAATATCCGTGGATATCGAGTAATTCGATATCACGTCATTGTGCCCCATTTAACGGGAACCATAATTTTGACGAAATTCGGGCAGAGTCTTCTTTGTATGGGAAACTCTATCCAAAACTCAACCTGTGCAATTATATAATAACATGNTGACACCCCAAAATTCGGGGGTCCGTTGATTACCCATCCACTCTCGGAATATCCGTGGATATCGAGTAATTCGATATCACGTCATTGTGCCCCATTTAACGGGAACCATAATTTTGACGAAATTCGGGCAGAGTCTTCTTTGTATGGGAAACTCTATCCAAAACTCAACCTGTGCAATCATATAATAACATGNCCAAAATTCGGGGGTCCGTTGATTACCCATCCACTCTCGGAATATCCGTGGATATCGAGTAATTCGATATCACGTCATTGTGCCCCATTTAACGGGAACCATAATTTTGACGAAATTCGGGCAGAGTCTTCTTTGTATGGGAAACTCTATCCAAAACTCAACCTGTGCAATTATATAATAACATGACCTATCCGAGGTCCAATATTCAACAATGACCACACCGGGTCCAATTATCCATATTTATATCAAAACATGCAAGATTAGTTTAACAATAGTCTATATAAGTTCTATTACAATTATTTGCTTGCAAAAGATTACATGTCAAAAACATTATTTTCACAAATGTTTTACATTAATACAAAATAAAGCTATATTCGACTTTCTTCAAACATGAGGGTCCAAATTGGAGCCATCCACCAATATATCTCTCCCACCTGAAATATTTTCCCGTATAGGGTGAGCCAATGCCCAGTAGAATAATCCCTATAGAGGCTACTCCCCACCTTAGATGCATATGTGGTGTGTATAAGCAACAAACAACATTTAACAATCATTCCATACAAGAATATGCATTAAATGTGGAATGCAACCATGTTATGTCATGAAATGAGATGATACTCACTCATGTACTTAAATCCAAGTCATCACCGACTCTCACGATACGATGCAATGCCAAGGTATACTAAATTCGTCAATTGCCGAAAAAATTCACCAAATGATCATTTGAAATAAAAGTTATTTTATTATAAAGACCAAATCATTGATGGGTGTTACTTATTGTATGAGTACTTATAAATCAAAATCTTGTGTTTTGTTGGGCAACGGATTTTGGATTTTATACTGTCGGTTCTGTACACCATACTACACTTTTTTGGAATTTTACCACAGGGGAGTGTATAACCAAGTCGCCGAGTCTTGCACCCGAGGGGAGAATTTACTTCTTTTTGCTATACCCGACACAAGTTTTTCTTTCGTGCAACCATGCGACTCAATCGGATTTTTAACCCAACTTTTTCGAGCCTATCCACCAATCACCAANGAGAATTTACTTCTTTTTGCTATACCCGACACAAGTTTTTCTTTCGTGCAACCATGTGACTCAATCGGATTTTTAACCCAACTTTTTCGAGCCTATCCACCAATCACCAAGTATGGTGTTTGATCACCCATGTATATACACACACCCACACTTATGACTCATGCCCAAGAGTGTGATGCCAACATACATATGCAATGAAATGAACTATTGCACTACCAATGTCATACTCCACATGTAATGAGTGTCATATGGATCAATTTAACCATACATTTTAACATAACCTATCATCCATCAAGTATGGTGTTTGATTAACCATGCACACACACTGACACCCATGCCTCATGCCCATGAATGTGATGCCTCCGTGCATATGCAATGTAAAGTATCATTGCAACACTATCCACATGTTCAATATGTAATGAATGCCGAACAAACTCAACATAAATCAACATATCCATGGTAAATTATATTACGAGCATATAAATACCATAATTTATCACAATGTCAATATATTACAAACATGTATATATAAACATTTTATAAGAAACATGTTATTGCACAATTTATGTCCAAAACACACTTTACTCACAAGAGCACACTCTAAACACATAGCATGCCCACACAATGGCAAATTTTAAGAAATTTCACAAGGAACTTCCACTTATCAAATTCAAGGTAGGACTTGAATTAAACCATTTCTACACCCATTTCTTCATGTACATAACAATAGACAAGTTTTCATCCGACACAATATCCAAGCATGCTACACATTGTCCATGCAAAACATACTTAATTTTCACCTAGGCATTTAATTAAACACCTTTAAGGCACCACTCATGTAAACACATAATACACTCAAATTCATCATATAACTCAAAAACAATCATAAGAATTAATTTCCACATGCCCAATTATCAAAACTTTCAAGAAATCACAAACTAGTAATTTCTAATTACCAATTCACACTAGAATTGAGCCTACCTATTTTCATTAAACCAACTATAATAGGCAAATGTTAAAAATATCCAAAACAGCCCATATAAACCCTATGGAGGC